CTAACTGTTGCTATCTGTCCTTTGATTTTCTTCTCGATCTGCTGGGCAAGGGAGAAGACTCAGTGGTGACATGCAGCAAAGAGAGTATATGATAAAAGATGTCCAGAGATTTTAGACTTTTAAGTCAGCTGGTTTTTTTCAGGTTGTTATAAACATTGTTGTGATTTCCAACAGTTACTTAACTGTGTTAAATGTGTTTTACTGTATGCATATTCTTTCCAGCTTTTGCACATGCAGGTGGAAAAGTAGGTTCCTACAAACATGCTGTCCATTATCACCGTGAATAGGTGTAATTTCAAAACAAAGCAGTGGAAGAAAATGTGGAACCAGATAGGAAAGCATGTAGGCACCCCATGTGTCTGCTGGGAGCCATTTAACTTTTTTAATGATGAGGTTAAGATTTGTTAAACTGGGGACTTCTAAGGCTCTTGAAACATTGTCCTGAAATTAGTATCTCCATTGCCATTGTCTGGCTTGGAGGCTTGGTAAAGGGGTGTGTGTGTCATACTTTAGGAGTTTGCTTTACACCACTTTTTGTTCAGTAATTGTAGCTACTTAGGAACTTTTTAATACTGACTTCTTGTCCCTTTCCTTTCTCTTGGTTTTCTCACTGCCCTTTGATCTCATACCAGACAAGTGTCTGTTCCAGAAAAGCAGCAGTAACTGATGTGGTGCTGTATTGCATGGGGGGAATATTTTTCTTAATATGTGTGATTTTTCTCCCACCTTTCTCAGTCTTCCCCTAGTGCTGATTATATTATATGAGATTAAATGGTGTGGTATAGGTCAGCACTACAGCTCGTGGTGTTTGATAACCCAAAGCAAGACAGGTTGGTTTTCTTCTAGTTTTTTCTTTTGGTTTAGTTTTAAGACCTGTGAAGTATGCTTCCTTAAAATATGCTTTAAGTAAAGCATTAATTTATTTGCAGTCTGTGGAAGCAAGTGTACTGTGTTTACAAAGTTCTGAGAAGGTGCAAGGGTGCAGGAGTTTTCTGGTGCTTTTGACATGTTTTGTTACACTAGGCATTTGACAGCAAACAAGTGTGAAATATTTTGGTATATTTCTCATGTTTTGGCTGGTGTAAGGTGATGTTTTGAATTATCTCATAAACAAATACAATTTCTTTCTAGGAAACCAGCCCTGAGCAGAGTAAGAGATAAGCATGCCACTTACTTCTGAGCACATGCTCACGTCTCAGGCGATTCAGATGTTATGCCTTGGTTGTACAGTGCATATGTTTCTAGTTTCTGCTAGTGTGGAACAATGTGGGCTTTTATGAGTGTGTAGTAGTGGCACAAGTTAAAAGTGGTGAAGGAATATGTGAGGAGACTGGAGATGTTGCAGCCTGTTCAGTGCCTCTGTGCTGTCTGCCTGCTGGGATTTGCTGTCCACACAGCTCAGATGCTCTGTTGGCAGAGCCAGACTTGCAAGTAATCACTGTTTTTACTTCTGTGCTGTGCAAAATAAAGTATTTCTTTTTTTTAAGGTGGTTTAAGCTGAGTTGGTTGAGTAGGAAAAATACTTGTTTGCTTATGTAGTGCAAAGGGGTGTATAAGCAGAAATCTGGATTGTGTGGAGTAGCACTACTCTTGCAAAAGAGTGACCATGCAATTAGTGTAGCCTTCCAGCAGATGGGTGGTAACGAGTACATAGTGGGCTGAATCATTTGAGATGTTCTAGCTGAATCTGTGACTTCCATGGTACTGGTGACCTGGAAGCACATATTTATATGTGGTCCTGACTAAAAGGTGTAGTAAGTAATTAATTTGAAAATATTGCATAACATCCTGTTGAAGGCTGAAGGGCTGAAGTTTGGGGATACTGAGATAACTGCCTGCCTGAATGGCATGACAAATAACAGGTTAGTACAGATTGAATTCCGTATAACTCTGTTAAGTAAGATAATCAGTTGTATATTGTGCAAGAACTTGCTTTTTACTAAAATTTCTCTGAAGCAAGCTGCAAAGTAAAATACTGCATCACTCTGTATACTACAGAACAACTGTAAAAGTGGCAGTGGTCCTGTCTAAGACTGCGCAGTCAGGAGGAGATGTCCAGTTCATGAGCTTATTTAGGAGACTTCATGTGGGTTTAGGAGATTCTCGTGACAGGAGCCAGTCCTCTGGTGTTTTTAATTGCAAATAGTCTACTGGGGCCTTTGATCTCAGCTGGTGTGTGTTTGTGATTTTTTTTTTTTTTTAGTAACACAGTATAGGCACAGGTTAAAGGGAAAAGGCAGACTTTAGGTGGAGGAGGAAAAACTGTTACATGGAAAAATCTGTATGCTTGGGAACTGGCAGGGAAATGTGGTATTTAAATAGTTTGTATTTCCCCTCTGCCCTCCTGCATTTTATTCAAACTGTATTTGTGCAACCAAATAACTGTACTCTTTAGGGTGTAACTGTCCGTATAGCCCAATAGTACACTTGTGGTTTTTGGTGATATCTGAAGATTTCCACAAAGTGGAAATAAGAAATCAGTAATATGAATCAGTTTATCAACGTGTCTTGGTTTTAAAGAAAATCCAATAGCTGATCTGCAGGGTAGAAAAGTTCCATCTTTCAGCTGGAGAATTTCAAATAACACAGGAAGAAGGAAGGAAATGTTAAAGTGGTTACTCCTGTTGTAATGGAAAGCCATATAGTAAACCTTTTGATTGTGCCAAGTATCTCTTCATGGCTTTTTTTTTTGTCCTTGTTTTTATTTTGTAATGGGTAGAACATTGATTCTGCAGTCTCTTTTCCACTTGTCCGTGGGGTGACCTGTGTTTGCAATTGAGTTGGATAGTTGGAAAACTTTTGCAGCTTGCCAACAAGGTGGAATGTTTTGTACTAAGCAAAATATGCTTGAAAAAGGATGTGAGTGTTTTCAATATCTGTTGCAATTAATGACTTTTTTCTGTAAAGGGCAAGCAGTAGGTAAAATAGTGGTAAAATTATTTTTAAAAAATAGATCAAGTTTTGTGTAACTATCCTGGATTTACTTGATGTAGCTGAGCAGTACACAAACTTGTTAACTATCTGTATAATTTTGTAATGAACAATCTGTAGTCATTTAATCAGACTGATAGATAAATAAATGCCATTTCTGAAAACTTTTTAACCAAATTTATGGAGTTGGGCATTCAAACCATTAAAAAAAAAAATCTTAATGCTGGATTGGATTTCAAGTTTTTAGTCAAAAAGATACTCCAGTATTTGTTTCATCTAGACATAAATACTGCCTTTGAATTAGTTTTCTACTCAGCTTTTAACACTATGTCTGAAACATAGAAATTACTGAGTTTTCACTGCTGAAAGATGAGTAGTTGAGTATAAAAGTCCATGTGGAAAAAGCAAGCTGTTCCACAGCCCTCATAATGCATTAGGAAGTTAAGTTTGAGGACAGAGGATTAGGTTTGGGAAATAGTTTCTCAAAGAACAGAGAGCAGAATGGTCAAAATCAATTTGCTACAATGAACAGGTGCAAGAAACACTGCTGGAGGACTTGGCATAATTTTTGCACTTAGGGGTGGCTAATGTTAATATTTCAATGCCTTTATTGTCATTGTGCATACATCTGGAGATGTATTTTCTCCAATGAAAGGGTAGTCTAGCCTGTGCAACAATAACTCTTTTGCCTTGAAACAATGATGTATCAAATTTTGCAGCATGGGAGACAAAAGGCTCCTTTGCTGCTTCTCAGAGTAAGATTACAGTTGTCATGTTTCTCCTTCACAAGCATGCCTGGTGCTTCAGGCTATATTTGAGACTTCCCTTTGTTAATGGAAGAGAAAGAGGATCTTTATGCTCTTCAGTTATTGGTAGTTTCTGTTTTCATAATTCATCTTGCTATTTAATACACATGACTTCTACTAAATTCCTTCCAGGATTTAGTTTAGAAAGTTAAGGTTCAGTTAACTGAAACTTGAGCAGCCTTCTCAAAAAATACTACCCCTAAAAAATGTTAATAATAAAAAAAAAATCATGTCAGCTTTGTGAATACTCCATATGATACAGCACAGTTGAGCAAAAGCCTGAGAAAACAGTCAAATGCAGTTTTGTGTCTCTCATACCAGAAATGCATGGTACATTAGAACTGCTGTTGACGATGGGCCAGGCAGTGATGTTTTTGGTAGGCTTTCCTCATTGTTTGCTTCAGAAAAAGATGGAAACAATACTAGAAACCAAAATAAAAGTAGCACTTGTTTCTGGGTCATAGGTTCAGAGATCTGGAGCAGTATCCAAAGCTGGGCATCTCAGCAACAGGAAAAACCTCAAGGTTTGCTAAACAAGATGCAGGTGACTTTCTCATAGGACCATTCCTGATGCACCTTTATTAACAAACAAATCCCACTGTGAGTAAATTCAGAGTTTGTAGTTTCTATATGCCTGTACTAATTAAGTGTTGACTAAGTTGCATCAGCATGTATATGGATAAAATTATGTTTTGCATTTTATGTATTAAATTTAAATGCTTTTTCCCACTTACAGTGTGGAAGGAAGGCTCATCTCTTTCAGCTCCTTTTCCATAAAAGAAAACAATGAAGAGTTTGTTCAGCTTCTGCTTGCAGAAGAAATACGTTTAGCATTCTTTGCATAACTGTGGGGAAGAAGGGGCTGCTAGCGTTCTCATTGTTCAGCTTGTGTCTTAATCATATATTACAAATTAACTGTGAAAACACTTTGTGAAAAATACCCAGTGGAACTGGGAAGAAATGGTCTGTGCGGTACTATTCCCGTCATAGGCTTTTGAGTTTAGTTTTGTTGAAGATACATAGTATTGTTTCATGCTGTTACACCATGGCAAGTGACCAGTAACAACTGGGTGAATGATACTTTGCAAACAGCTACAGTTTCAGTGCCTCCTCTTAAGAAGGCATGTGGCTTAAATTGCCTTTTTTCCCCCCTTGTTTATCCTTTATTTTTGTTTTCTTTTATATACTGTACTTCGTATACTGAAAGCCTGTCTTTTATTTTTATTCTGTGTGTCTATCTGTGCGTGTTCCAGTGACTTTAACATGCAAGACAGTGATGCCAGGGGGAGATCCCCTGCTTTCCTCCGACCTCATAATGGGAGCAGTCACAAGTCTTCGGGGTATGTCCTGGGGAGAATTGCCCCTCTCCGTCCCCCACTGCCTTCGCAGAGCCATGCTGCAGCCGAATTTACCTCTGCAAGACAAGAAGCCCAGACAAGACTCCCATCTTTACCAGTGGATCAGCACCGCCGCCAGGCAGAAGCCAACAGGCATAAAAATACTCTAATTTGCTTTGCCATTTCTAGCCTTTTGCTTTTTGTTGCACTGGGGATTTTTTTGGGAATAGCTTCAAAATATGCTCCAGATGGTAAGTTCTTTTGCAAACAAAATCATTCTAGAAGTTACAGACCCTGTGAATTCAATAATTCAGCTTCAGGATTAGTGTTAAAAATTAAGTGCAAAAATAAGATGCTTTCTGCAATTTTAACATGGAAGGAAGCAGTGTCTGGGAGCTAAGATCAGCTCCTTTGTCTGTTATCAGTGTAATTTATGTTTTTACTGTGAACAATTTGATTTACTTACATGAAGCCAAAAGGCATAGCAGTAAATGAAGACTACTAGTGAGGGAGAAAGAAACATGAATGTTTTATAAGTGTAATTATTTTGTCTTGCTGAAGAAGCTGTCTGTTATGTTTGCAAATTGCAGGCAAAATGAAATCTGTCTGCTTAAGCAGAAACTAAGGATGATAGTAAAAAGATTTTAAAATTCTGTGAGAATTTTTGCCAGTAGCGTTACGTTTTCTTTGTTTATACACAAATTATGCAGGGACCTTTTTGATCTATTAGCCCTGATTGTTTTTCAGCTCATCTTAGAAAAGTGGGCAACTTTCATGGCATTTGGAAAACATCCCAAATGTGTCAGTGGTTATAAAGAATGAACAGGTGATGTGGTTACCTGCTGATCATTAAGTATACATTCCTCTGGCTAAACACTACTAAGAGTTGCTGTGAGGTGCAGTTGCTAAAGATTGGCAGTGTAGTTTGAAGCATGGGTTTTTTGTTTTGGTTTTGTTGTGTGTGGTGGTGTGTGTGATGGTGGTGTGTTTTTTTTTTTTTAGACAGAAGTCAGGTTTCTAAAAGCTAAACATGAGTTTTTGTATTCAAACTGTTGGTTATTGTAACACAACAGACTACTCAGCAGCTTTTGGCATAGTAACTCAAAAGATTCAGTTTCCAACGTCAATGCAGCAAATTACATCATAAACTGAAGACTTTGGATGACAGTACAAAATGAATGCATACATCTTACGGGATTGCTCTTGGTGGTGGTTTCCTTGGTGGTTACTGAGTTTTCCTAGTAATTTTGAAGGGAAAAAAACCACCCAACAACAAAAAAACAAACCCACAAAAACCTGAGGGAATAGTAAATAAAAGGTTATTGCTATGCTGTGATCCAGAGCACTGGTAACAGGCATACATACCTGCAGTAAGTACTTTGGTTACAGCCAAGTTCAAGATAAGGCTGAAGGGTGACTTAACCAGTTGGCTCTGAGAGATATTTTGGTTGGAAAAGCCTTTCTGCTTTGATATCAAAACTTAGTTAACTAGAAATTTTAGATTTTGATGATGGTTTTAGAAGTGGGGTGTTATGTGCTGTGGGATATGTCAAATAATAGTCCCTTTTTGCTTTAAAAGCTGATAATGTGAAGGAGATGGCTTTCCTTTTAAAAAAAAATATAAGTGGTTTGGAATGGCTTTGCTTCATCTGCAGTAGCTCATTCCAAAGACTCTGTGGATATTCCAAAGTTGAGTGGATATTTTTACACCGAATGCATGGTCAGCATGTGTTTAATGGATCACAGGGATCTGAGGGTGTTACAGAAAAGCTACTGTGATTTAGTAGATGGGCTTCTTTTTGTCCATGGTTATGACTTGCATAAAGGCTACAGAGTAAAGCAAGATCATGGTTGCTTTCCTTCAACTTCCCACTGTTTCTTGCTGGAAGTCTAAGCCAATTTTCAGCATTAATTCTTATGTTGTATCTTTCTGAAGTTTCCCTGCATTGTCCTTTTTAAAAAAACCAAACATGCACCCATAGAATCCTTTGGAAACCCTGACTCAAGAGAAACTTCTACAGGCACCAAAGAAAGTTTGGCTGAAATTTTAATCTTGCAGTATTGTTGTTGCAGTGACTCCCCAAAAGATTCCCAAGAGGCTGAAATGTTAATACAGTCACCTCCAACCATAGCACATGTGGTACTGCAGCCAACTACTCCAGTTCCAGCTAGGTGTGTTCTGGAAAGCTAATTGGATATCCATATTGCCAGTACTTTCAATGTCTGTTTAAAAGGTAGTGGAGGGAATGTGAGACTTACTACTACTATGTGTAATTTACTTAGTACTAATTGTGTAAATCCTAAACCTCTAGAACACCTTCCCCGAAGGGAAAATGGTACTTGTCTGTATTTCTGTTCCTACTTGTCAGCTGGTTTCTTTTTTCATCCTTGCTTTTAGCTTCTGTCATCATCCTTTTTTTTCCCTTTCTTTCTAAAGAGTCCTGAACACTGGAGATTGAGGAGAGCACTGGAAATGCAATTTCCTGCAGAGTCAGGATGACAAACTGGGGAGGTTTTCAGTGAAAAGTTCTACTAGCCATTACAGCTCTCACCTGGAGCTTGCTCAGGGTAAACAGGATCCTCGGAAAAATCAGCTGCCAAGCTGTGATAAAATTCTGCTAAGCATAATATAACACTGATAACTTTTTCCCAGAGGCCTTAAAAACTTCAGACTTAGTGGCTAAGCGGGTAGAAAGCAAGTATTTAACTACCTCTTGAGAACTGTTTCCTGCCTTTTCTCCTGCCAAATTTAATGTGGTGGGGTTTTTTGTTTGTTTTGGGGTTTTTTTTGCTGTTTGTTTGTCTTTGTATGGTTGGGTTTCTGTCCCCCCTCCACCATTTGCAAAAATATGTTTCTCTCTCCCCTCTCTCCCAACTCTGTCAGAGGCAACTAAACCTTGAGGAGGGCTGACCCATTTTTGCAAAAGTGCTCTGAAGCAGAGGCTTGAACTGAAAGATTTTCAACATGAGTGGTTAAATTTGGCAAGGCTACAAGTGCCTAATGTTTTCTGTTCTGTGCTTCTGTTTTAATTTAATATTAACTATAGAGACAGTGGCTGTGGTCTAATCTCATCAGTAGTTTTGGAGGTAGCTTGTGGTGAAGTACTAAATCTACGCTTGCTAAGGGAGAATTTCAAAATACTTTTTGCTGAGCACATCAGATCTGTCTACTACTAAGTTGATCCACCATGCTTCAGAAGCATACTTGCATTACAAAAGTGCCTATTTCTGATGCTGATGGCTTCCTTGCTAGATTGTAATGTACAATAGATCTAAAAATGTGTGGTTTTGAGTTACTGTGCTGTATCTCTTCTTTCTGACTCAACAGAAAAAATTAGTTACTAGATCTTCTCTTCTGTGAATCATGCTAAGCAGAAATCATCAGGTTATTGACTCATGGTTTCCTCACATTGCCCTTTGCTTCCTGCCAGGAAATACATGTTTCTTCACAGCGCTTGTGTGTGTCATGTCTGGGGGAAGGGGTTTTGTGACTCTGTGTGAGTCAGGCAGTAAACTTCCATTTATCCAGTAAGTGCTCAGGAGCCTTGCTGATCACAATGCTGCTTGCTTTTCTGCTTTCCCTCGTGTGCTGAATTTCTAAATGTTGTCTTCGTATGATCCCCACAAAATTATTCAAAAAAATACTTTTTTAAGAATTTTTATATATTACTACTTGGATGCCTTTTGCCCTTAGTCAGTTCTGTTAATTTTTTTCCCATGGGTGGTCAAATCTTGGTTTATGTGGGTTTCCTGAGTTGGAAAGCATTTGAAATGTAGAGAGTAACACTAAAGGAAAAACATTTCTGTCAGCAAAACTAAGGCTGGCTTGTGTTAAACTTGTGGATAGGTTTTGCTTTCTTGAGATTTTTTAGGTATCTTTTTTTTTCCACCAAAAATGTTGCTTTTCAGATGTGTGGGTGTTTCTTTTCCAGAAGATAAGATGTGAAAAGACTTTTGGCTGTTACTCTTAGTTTGGCTGCTAACCTCTTTATTTTGGCATCTTTTTGGTTGTCTTTTGCTTGAGAAAAATATTTTCAGGCTGACTTTTGGTAAGAAAATCAAGGAATATACTTCCCATTTTTGTATTATGTCTATGTTGCTGCATAACTCAACTGCTTAGTATGCTAAAAATGAGTGTGTTGGAAATACTGTGTTGCTGTAACTTTATCTAAAATCACACAAGTCTGTCACTTCTTCTTTTCTGGCCTTGTAGTACAGTGTTATTGTCTTTGGTGTCAGACCTTCAGCAGGGTTTCAGCAAGCATTGCATGTGTTGCTGCTGTCATGTGGTTTGTAGCCTGATATTTAATCTGACACTCTAAGGAGTACCAACCCTGAGTTTAGACCCAAATATCTTGTCTTCCAGGAAACTGTTCTAACCAGTAAGGTATTATGCTAAATATACTAAGGATGCCTCTCTTTTATCCCTTACCCGCAAACCTACACTGAAAAACGTTGGTTGCTTAAAACCAAGAAAGGATCAATCTTTCTCACACAGGGAGAGACCTTGAGAGATATTTAGATGCTTTACAGCCATGTTAGTTGGCCAAGGTAGCTGTCCTAGGACATCCAGTGCTCAGTGACTACTATGGAGCGGAGTATTTCCTGCTTACTTCTCCTCATCCACTGCAGCTGATGTAGGAAAAAAAATCAGATGGAGTTCAAAAGTATCTATTATCAACTGTATATGTTGACAGTTCAGCCTGTGGTCATCAGTAGTTTAAATCACTAGAATAATTCCTTCCCACCCTTGGGAGTTTAGCCACCTTTCAACTGTCTTTTTGGTTACTTGAATACAGACAAGTAACATCAGTGGCTGCATTATTGTAACCACAGAAGGAGGTGGTAATTCTTTGTGGGGGACTGACTTTGCCTTGCTCGTGTTCATCCTTGAACTTCTTTGATTGATGTGATGACACTTTAAAAGCTGAATTTGACATTGTATTGCAGAGAATTGTCCCGATCAGAATCCTCGTCTTAAAAACTGGAACCCTGGAAAGGATCCTGAAAAGAGAGTTTTTATCAAAAAAGGGGATTTGTTTCGTCTGAACTCAGATGCTACAGTACACTCTATAGTTATACAGGATGGAGGTATGAAATGGCAAGATGAACATCTTCTTGCTTCAGCTTACTGCATAGCTTCTATTTTTGTTCCGGAATTTTAAGTTACTGCTTATTGAACAGCTACCCTGCTTTTACTTTTGAGCCTGCTACTACACCAGGCACATCATTAAAAAGATGAATGAACACTTCAGAGTCTTTAGCACTTCAGACCTAGTGCAAAGTCCTGCACATGGGCTGGGGCAACCCCAAGCCCAAGTACAGACTAGGTGGAGAATAGATAGAGAGAAGCCCTGAGGAGAAGGACTTGGGGGTATGGTGAATAAAAAGCAGGACATGAGCTGGCAGTGTGTGCAGGCAGCCCAGAAAGCCAACCGTATCCTGGGCTGTATCCAGAGAAGTGTGGCCAGCAGGTTGAGGGAGGTGATACTCCCCCTGTACTCTGCTCTGGTGAGACCCCACCTGGAGTGCTGCGTCCAGCTGTGGAGCCCTCAACATCAGAAGGACTTGGACCTGTGGGAGTGAGTCTAGAGGAGGGGCACGAAAGGGATCAGAGGGGTGAGTCTAGAGGAGGGTCACGAAAGTGATCAGAGGGCTGAAGCACCTCTCCTATGAAGACAGGCTCAGAGAATTTGGGTTCTTCAGCCTGGAGAAGAGAAGGCTCCAGGGAAACCTTATAGGAGCCTTCCAGTACCTGAAGGGGACCTGCAAGAAAGCTGGGGGGACAGGACTTTTTGCAAGGGCCTGTAGTGATAGGACAAGAGTTCACGGGTTTAAATTGTAAGTGAGGAGGTTTAGATTAGATAACAGGAAAAAGTTTTTCATGGAGAGGGTGGTAAAGCACTGGAGAACAGGTTGCGCAAAGAAGCTATGGATACCCCATCCCTGGAAGTGTTCAAGGCCAGGATGGATGAGGCTTTGAGCAACCTGGTCTAGCGGAGAGTGTCCTTGCCCATGGCAGGGGGGTTAGAACAAGGTGATCTTTAAGGTCCCTTCCAACCCAGACCATTATGTGATTCTGTGATATGCAGTGGAGCTTTGGTGCATTTTTCTGTAGGATATAGTTAAACAAGGCTTGCATAGTAGCCTTCCTTGTACAAGATCTGATTGTCTTCTGATGGTTATTGTGGTATGTTAGGAATTCTACCAAATTGGCAGAAAAAATAGGAATAAAGTGACCAAATTCATAGAAAGATAAATCATAATTGGTAGGAATTAATTTCTTCCCAAATAAACATACATAAGAATGTAACAGATGAATTCATGGGTGTGGAAAATAAATCTGTAATTTTTCTGTTCTTACTGCAGAACTTGGTCCTCTGTGTCTATCTGAATTTTGCTTTGACCTACAAAAACATTTTTTCCTTTAGGATTACTTGTTTTTGGTGATGATAAAGAAGGTTCTAAAAATATTACGTTGAGAACTCGATTTATCCTGATAAAGGATGGTGGAATGCTTCATGTTGGAGCAGAGAAATGCCGCTATAAATCCAAAGCAACCATTATTTTGTATGGAAAGTCAAATGAAGGTGCTGATGTGCCAGAATTTGGCAAAAAATTTATTGGTGTGGGCCCTGAAGGAACGCTGGAGTTACATGGGCACCAGAAGTTATCATGGACTCTTCTGTCAAAGACTATGTATTTCTCAGGGCTGGCCTATGGTCATTATACATTTAAAAGAAATTTTTCACGAGGGCTAAATGTGAGAGTGATTGATCAGGACACAGCAGAGATTTTGGAAGTGCTGAAGTTTGATACTCATCAATATTCAGAAGAAAGTTTGAAGCTCCAGAACTTACTGAAAAATGGAAGTCCTGGTCGCATTGTTGCTATTGCTGTAGGAGATTCAGCTGCTAAAAATCTACTGGAGGAAACCAGAGTGACTATTCAAAATCTTCTGGGAAGTAAGTTTGTCAGAGGATTGAGTTACAGGTAAGTAACTAATTTGCCCTTTTTTGCTGTGTAAAGATTATATACAGTTTCTGTTGCCTTTGGGGAGGATTCATTAAACTTTGACAGTGTCTATTCTTAAAATCTTCAGAGGATCCTTAGTGTTGTACATAGTACTGCAGTAATAGTAGCATTCAATGTGCGGTGTTTCAGAAGTGCGGAGACTGATAGTTACAGGTATCTGTGTGATAGGCCTTATTCGTACTCGCTCTCTTTCACAGTTATTTACAGAAATTAGAACTGGGTACAGTGAGGATTTTTTTCCTCATTCAAATATACAGAAAACCATTACTAGGTGAAGCTTTTAATGCATATGACTCTATTTGGAGGAGCAAGGAATGCCAAGATAGAAAATGAATACAAGGAAGGCATCCTACTCCTGTATATTTTACAGGGTATCTTCAAGGCCAGCCTGGCCTTGGCTTTGAGCAACCTGGTTGTCATGGTTTAGCCCTATCTGAAATTAAGTACCACTAGACGCTCTACCACTCCTCTCCCCATCCCTCCACTATTAGCGAGGAAGGTTCAGAGGAAAAAAAACAAGGGAAGCTCATAAAAGTTGCGATAAGAACTATTTAATTATATAAATGAAACTTATGGTGTTACTAACAATACTACTGCTAATAAGTAATTAAAAGAATAAAAAAGTAGAACATATGATACAGGATCTCACCACCTGTGGACTGACACATCCAGATTCCAAAATGGCAAGACAAAAATCCAAATGGAGGGAAAAAAGCCTCACCACCCTACCCAAAACCTCTGAACCCAAAAACCAGAGAGAAAACCCCCTTTCTTGAGCCTGGGAGCAGAGAGCAGGGAGAAAGAAACTTCCAACCCACCTTCCCAGGTCAATTCCCTGACACAGGATGCTCCTCCTCTGCTAATCCCCACCACAAGGTGAAAACAAAGACCAAGCTATCTGCCAGATATTTCCTAGCCTCCCTTGTCCCTCCTTCCCCACATGCTCCCAACTCCTTCCAGGTCACTTTTTCGCAGTTGCTTGCAAAACCCCACACTCTGCAAACCCCACCCTGCGGCTTTCAAACTGGCTGTTGAGCTTGATCATGGAATCAAACATGGATTGAAACAAGATCCTGTAAGCCAGTCCTAGGAAAGCAGCTCATCCCTCCCTGAAACTAGCATACAGGTCTAGTTGAAGGTGTCCTTGCTTGTGGCAGGGGGGTCATAACTAGATAATCTTCCAACTCAAACCATTCTATGAAATACCTGTGCACTGTTGAAATAAAAGTACATTACCCATCCATTGATTCTGCAAGGGAAGCAATCTATAAAAATATTTTGTTATTGAAGTATACCTGTAAGGTGTTTCCATATTTTTAACCATTTTTTTCAGCTGGTCAGGTTTTGGGTGGTAGTAGAGTAGAAGAGGTATTACAGCAATTATTAAAGCAGGAAACTTAAACTGCTGTGCCATTCATTTAGTTGTTGCAAATGACTTTTTGCAGTGAAATTAGATGTGTGCTGCACAGGGTTAGCAATACAAGGGACACCAAGTTTCCTAACTATCAGTCTGTTCTTCAGCTTCCATTAAGATGGTGCTGTATAACCTGTATCTATTTCCGAGGAAATCTAAAGTTTAGTTTTTCCATTTTATTCTTACCCCTCAGTCTACCCCAGCATCTGGATTCCAATTAAATTCCTCCTTCTGCTTCGGCAGAGGCAGGCTGGGCTGTCCTTCAGGATGGCATGTTCTAACCCTGGTTCCTGTCAGGAGCCCGTTTGTGTCAGTGGCTGTGTAAGCATCTTGTCACGGGGTGGAAAGTGCTTGCCGTGCTGCCTCTGAAGCAGTTTGGTCAGAGGTGCTGAGACCTGGATGTTCTGTAATAAGCATCACCTCCTGAAGGCTGTGAAGCCCATGTGGCCATTGTTCAGGTTCCTGTGCAGCCAGCCCCAACCTGTCCTGGAGGATTGGGTTTCTACTGTTCATCTCTGCCTGTGACTTCCAAGCTGGTTCATCTGAAATGAGGAGCAACTTCAGTGTGCAGCTGGGAAGAAGCAGCCTTTCTTCTTTCTCTGATGAACTGACTCTTGTCTGGTTTTGTTAGTTGTTAGAGGCTCTGTATGTACATAAAATTGCTGTGTTTTGCTGTGAAAGATGGGTGAGAAGCTCTCCCCAAGTGCTCACTGAGGGACAGAGGGTTGTTTTGCTAAACCTGTAAAGTTAGTGAAGGAGATTTCAGCATGGAGGTGAAGACTGTTGCATCCCTCTCACCCTTCGCCTCTTCCTGCACAGTGGCATGCATTGAAATACCTTTATTTTAAATGTTATGTGAAATATTCAGCTTCTTTGCTGCTGGTACTGAAAAGCTGTCCCAATATGTGCTGTTCCTATGAACAGGTTAAAACTAAGCTTTCATTTGGCCTTTTAATTCCAATCAATAAGAATGTCATGAGGGGACAGAAGCAAAGGTAACTGGATTGAAGGTGGTTTTAATATCTGCCTTTGAATCAGTCATTAGCAACAGAATACAGTCCAGGTAGCTGACACTTTTCATTTGGGGTGAATAATTCAACTTTAAGGTGCAAAATTGTTCAACCTTTTAATATATGACCTTGATTGCTTCCTCTCCACACATAATTATGGCATTAGAGAGCAGTAAAAGACAGCAAAATAGTTTTGTTTTTCAAACTTGGTGGCAGCTTTCTGTGGCATGTGGTTTGTTTTTCATTTCCAAAAACATGGATTCATTGGGTGCAGCTGTATGGCAGGGAATTACATCCAGGACAGCTCCCTACTCCACATCATTGGTCAGCCAAGTTGGTTTTCAGGTGAGGGAAGGGCCAGCATGGAGGAAAAGCAAAAATCCCTGGTCTCAGCCTTCAGAAACATGGATGATCCCTTGTGCAAAGGTTGTGTAACAGTATCCACTTCCTTTTCTGGGTCTGACCATCTCAAAGGATTCAGAAGGTATTGCCCATCCAGTGCATAGCTAGTGTGCTGCTGACTATGTCCCTCCCTCCCAGCCTAATGGTCTGCTGACACTATTGGCTGCTGCTCTGGGACACTGCTTGCTGTGGTGCTGTGACCATGGCACTGTCTCCTAGTCTTCCTGTGCCTCAGCAAAGCTATTTGGGAGTAGGATCTCCCAAACTTTTGTTGCTCATCTCTTGCAATTTTGCTTTAGGAAAAAGTGTATCTTGTTGGATGTTGTACTAAAAATGTATCTGAAAGTTTTCTCCATTAAGAGCTCTTGTATTTGCAAATTTGTATATAGGACATCCAGTTACTTTAAACTGTTTCTTGTCAGTGAGGTCTACTGATTTTTCTTCTGCATTTTGAAGTTGCATTTTAAAATCAACTTGAACAAGCAGGTGAAAGGATTATTTATGACTTCTGCACTCCTTATATTGTCCTCTAAGAGTTGTGAAGAATTCATTAAGGAGTGTTATATTTAAACATTTACTTTGGTTTTTCACAGGCAAGCCTGGGCTTTTGTTGGAGTCATAGGTGGTGGAAATTCTTCCTGTAATGAATCAGTAAGAAACTATGAAAATCACAGCACTGGTGGGAAAGCTCTTGCTCAGAAAGATTTTTTCACAGTGGATGGTCAAAAGTTTGTTGTGAGAGCCTTCAGTGAATGGAATGATGGTAGGAAAGTATTTCGTGAAATCATGCAACTGAGGATATTATATATGCTATTTTTGCTAGAACTGTTGGTTTCAATTCAAATTTGAGTGCTGCTGTAAGTTTGGTGGTTTTTTTGGTTGTTGTTTGTTTTTTTTAAATTATTTATTTTCTTCATTATGGATGAAGTATGAGGAAACAGTTCTTCAGTACAATCTATTTTCTCAATCTGTATACAGTACATGAACAGTATAATATTATCAGTCTTCATTAGGAGTCCAGCAGTAGGGCCCTCAACATAAGAAGGATATCAAGTGACTGGAGTGAGTCCAGAGGAGGGCCACGATCATGATCAGAGGGCTGGAGCACCTCTCCTATGAGGAAAGGCTGAGAGAGTTGGGCTTGTTCAGGCTGGAAAAAAGCAGGCCA